CACGGTTAAAAACGCAGTGAGAATGATACCGATCAGATACTGATCAGCAGCCAAGGTCATGTTGTCTGGTTGTCAACGTTGGTCAGATTCTACTAGTCACTTTAAGAATAAAGCTACTAAGACATGCAAATTGATATCTCCTCATATCTTGTTGTATGTCAGATGGTTTGACTGCAAATAATCTTCCATCACAAGTAAGTCACCGGCCAAATACTTCAGAGACAACCTTTCTGGTCGTTACACTGGTAAACTGTAACCGAATCAATGACGCACTTTTATTCCCCTTAACGTTACAGGTGAGAATTCCAACAGAGTACCGAAAAGCAAAGAAGCATGTACTAAGGCTTCCAGCAGATTAATTTACTTAACTATATTATGTAAGATGGGAATTGTTAGTTGTGTGTGCATGTGTGGAATCCGAAAAACCAATAAACTATGTAGGTCGAAAATAGGGTTTCTTTTTTGGACAGAAAAAATTCACCGACCAGAGAAGAATAACAAGGTACCATTTTAAATCATTGTCTTCTCACCAATTGCTAACAAACAGAGAAAATTAAATTTCGTATAGAAAATTTCAAAAATACTTTTTTGTATTTAAATGAAGTTAGTTAACAGGAATTGACATGGTTTAATGAGGAATACAACCATCCGAATAAAGTTAAGAAGACAGGCTCAGAAGTCCCAAGTATTTAGCGATTTCAAAAGGAAGCTAAAAAGTAATATGAATAGTAACAAAGTGTTGTGCCATTTAGAACAAAAGATTACTCCGGAAGATTAACAAATAGGTTGGTCGATGATAAGTTACACAGATTACATAATAATACAAAGACTTGATGTGAGTTGATAAACCGATCATCACGATTTTGTGCAGACAGAAAAAGGTCTAGTCAGAAGATAATGTCATCAAATAATGGGAATAGTGAGACGTTAGGTTACAAAGGTGAAGAAACACTGACCACTAGTTCTGTTTGAACAGACAGTTTCGTTGTTATTTCAGTCCCTCAGCTTCACTGAGCTTCAGAAGGCTGGAATTATTGTTGATTATCCTGAAGGATTCCCAGTTATCGTCTTCATTTCTTGTATTTGTATGATGCTAGGCGACTGCACCATTAAAGTACTTGTCCCTCTGATATGTAGGCTTTTTGGTACGCGTTAAAGAACTTAAGGTATCCCTTTCTGGCTGTTCTGCCAATGGTACTGCTACCACAGTTGCATGTAAACTTGCACATGCAGTTAGCGATGATATGGATAGGGAACCTGTCAACTTTCAACTGTACAAAGAAACACGTTGTTCTGCAAACAGGGATGAATTTTGTTGCAGAATATGTCCTGTTCAATGCATCTTTAAAACTTCTATTGGTCCGCCGTGTAACGTAGTCCTTTTTGAAGTTGAGGTAAGTGAGAACTGTAATCTTCTTGAAATTATTTTTTTCGGATCCTCTATCTTTGTTGATAAACTTATACGGGCAACCACTGTCTCTCAGGATATTTTCGACGCTCAACAAATTTTGAAGAAATTTATCACCTGGGTATATTCTTCCAGTTCTATAAAGTAGTGTTTTGACCTATATTCGTTTGAAACTGGTTGCACAAAAGCTGTTGAAATATAGGTGCTGTTCATTTCGTGTACTCGTAAGATAAATGTAGCTTTTAAGTGTATGTTGCAAAATGATAAACATAAATGTGAACTCCTGACTGTTTTCATGTTCCACGGTTATGTCAACTTTTCCATGAGGATCATTGAAGAAGTATAAGAAGGAGTTTGGATGAAGTAGAATATTGCGTACGCCATATTTAATAAACACATGTCTAAAGTTTGTCGTCATTTCTTCAGCAGCATGTTTAGGCTTTGGTCTTATAAAGTATTATCGAAATGAAACAAAACATCTTTTGTCCGCATTCACAGCAAGCGTTCGAATTCCAAAATTGGGAGCGGAAAAGGGTTGGTATGCTGACACTTAATTTTAAAATTCTCTTGAAAAGGGATCTTCACGAACAAAGAAATCATATAGAATGAAATTTTACCTTGACTGTGAGCATACTTCAAAGGTTGAAACATGCATGTACCCATCAAATAATTTATAACTAATCTGTCTGTCAGTTAATAATATTAAAATAATTCTATTTGACTTTCTAGATTATCAATTCATCCACTATATAGTGAATACAGTTGGTTCACTAGGCATGATATATTTACTATTCAGCAAAACGTTAGCCTTGTTGTTTGGCTTTTATCAACACTTAAACGATACCTGATTGTGCGAAAGAAAGTTGTATGCAGGTGGTGAGTGATAAAAAGATCATGCTTATTCACGTTTTAAGATCACATTTCAGTGAAATATTATGAATCATATACCCAGTTAGTAACGAAAGCAATTGTTGATTGATCATGTCTTATGATAAAATGCTGATTTATTTACTGACTGGCTGCACCCAGGTTATGGGTATTCGCGAAACACACGTTGCAAAACTCACGAAACTACCAAATGACTTACTTCAGAGTTGATGAAATGAATCACTTTTAATATAAAAGAGGCGCAAGGCTCCAAACAATCAATCATCGGTACCAGTGAGATCACTAGGCAGTTTATTAGTATAAGTAGCCTATTTCGTTTATTACGATAAGGTTGTTCATAATCGACACGTAAACACTAAGCTTGCATTTAGACGAAACGTTAAGCTTCGAAAATAGTTGAAGCTGAATAATTGTTTTCCTCATTAAACCCTTACTTAATAGTAGCTTTCTCAACCAGACTAAAAATAACCAGTTGAGAAGACTAACCAGTAGACGACTAGTTTGTTGCTGTTTTTGAGTCGAAGATTTCTATATAAACATAAAAAGTACTTAAAACAGGTGTGAATGAAGAAATAGGAAATGCAATCATATCCATTACCCAATTATTTCAGATTCCCAATATAGGGAAACTTTTCTGCATTTGAGCCTAGATGCATTACTGATGGATCTTCCGAACGCAAAACAGAATGACGGTCTACTCCCTTGTAGATATGCCAAGCATAAAATTATGTCATTAGTTTGTAATGATCTGTTGTTGTGGGATAGAAAGTAAAGGCCACCGATTGCGTAATTCTGTTTTGTCATGCATTCTATCTGGTAGTTTCAGCAGTCCCAGTTTATTGATGTGCCTTCAGCATTTAGTTAGCTTACAAGCTGAACTCGCGTCTTTCATCCTTGCTATCTTAACGAATATAAATGTATTAAGGGGATGAGTCGAATTAGTTAATTGGAGTGTGCAAAGCTCCTGCTCGGAATACAAACCAGTAGCAAACAAATGATCTTTTTCAGATTCCAAGTAGTGTCATGATTTACTTATCAATAGAAAATAGATCACTTCACTTATGTCAGTTAACAGTGGACATGTTCGGCAATTCTGATAATATATATATATATATATATATATATATATATATATATATATATATATATATATATATATATATATATATATATATATATATATATATATATAGCAAGCCAGGATGCATCAAAATGAAAGGTCAGCAAATAAGGAATAAAGTATTCATAGTTTCAGAAAGCTAAGAAAAGTGAATAAAAAAGAGTGAAATGTTGATGAAATTCAATGTGCTGTGTAAGATGATAACGTGTGAATACATCTGAGCCATTGTAGTCGATTCCCAGCCATGTCACCTAGAGTCTCCAAACATTGGTTTCAGTTATCAGGTTAACCTCAACCACGATGTCTACATTTCCCTAAGTGGCTCAGATCGACATTCAACGTTTTCCTGAACTTATGCTTCACAAAGATGAAGTACTTAGTGCTTATAGGTAATGAAGAAGAAGCTTTAAACTTAGGTCAGGTGCTTACTGACGTGCTGACAAGCACGAAATCTGGGTTATAAAACTGCCCGTTGATTGCACCCAAGCACCTAACAACCACCGAAGGTAAATCACTGTGATAAGTCTTCCACTTTGGTATGCACATGGAATAATTAATGGAATCCCATAAGCATTTTAGCTGGATCGTACGAAACTGTTTACCGTACAATGAGTAATCTCACTGTTTTTGTTAACATAAAGTGACAGCAACAGAAAACCAATTAAAATAAGTTTTAAAATTTATGAACAGTATGGTAAGTTATTCATATGAACAAGTGAAAAAGCCAGTTCCATTTCTCGACACTACAGCTATGTCTGACGAAAAGAAAATTTCTTAGGATACTCTAAATTTGGGTACAGATGAAATTTCACTAGGTTCAGCATGTTGATATAACGACAGTTGCGTCAAACTTTTAAAATTCCATACTTATACGAACTATCGGAAATAAAGTTAGTTGTCTTCAGACAGCAGAAATATATGACTCATATATTATAAGCTCAATAGATAGCATATTGCTAAGCAACAAGTCTTTGTTCACTTGTTCTAGCATAGAAAGAGCCTAGAAACTACCATGAGCATGATGATAATTTAAATTTATCGTATAAATGATAATGACCGATCAGCGTAAAATCAAAAATATCATGCATACATTTTCGTTATTATTCGCTGAGAAAGGGATAAAAAAGAAAGGAAATGTTTCGTGTTTATTTACCAATCGAATATTCTATTGTTTAACAATGCTAAATTCTAGAAATTGTTCTATTCATATAATAGAAAGGAGTTTCTGTTCCGTATTACCTACAGATTTTAATCTGTAACTATGGTTTTAGCTCGAAAAGAATGAAATTTACTGAACATGTAAACAACAAATAAAGTATAAATTGAACTAATGAATGATATTTCACTTGCTTATACGATTAATTCTCTTTTATTCACTTTATTTGGTTCGAACTGGCAAATATTTTACTATGGGTCAACTACTGGACATTGATGATACTAATCATTTCTGCGATACCTTCATATAAATGTAAAGAAGGTTAGCCATTTGTTATTGAACAGATGAGTTCATTTACATCTGTTTATTTACCTTACATACATAGTGAGTTTCTTCAACATATAGATGTAAATATTCACGTATAAATAATGTTTACAATAATCACTTATATGTATTTGGTCATTCAGAGCTATACTTTGCATATTGATACACTTAATCACTATCATAACAGATATGATCATGACAAAACTCACAGTGATAATACTAACAGTACAAATAATGATACTGATGACGCTTTATGGCTGCAATGGAAAATTTTACACAATAAAACTTACTCTACTCATCAGGAGTATAATGAACACCGTGAAAATTGGCAATTAAATTTGCTGCACATTAAAGAACATAATATAAAACATAGTAAGGGTTTAGAATTGTACACAACAGGATTAAATCAGTTCTCTGATTTAAACTGGAATCATATCAACAAAATTTACTTAACAAATTTAAGCAAATACTCAGTTAGACAGGGACATGACGGTAAAATATTGTTAAAACAGCCGCTGAATGAAACAGAAAATAAACAGATTCCAAATTCGTGGGATTGGAGAAAAGTGGGCATCGTAAGTGGAGTCAAGCTTCAAGTGAGTTTCAAGCTTGATGCAGTTTAAATGTCTATAATTTGAAACTTGAACTGCTATTAGTTATGTGAATAGTAGATTTAAGAATTATAACGATTTGGGTATAAGGAAGGAGTATTTGATGTTAGAGCTTGAAATTCCTTGATATTGATTTGTAATATTGAATTATTCAACCTCTACAAGCGTACAGCAACACAACATGAATACCTCGATATTATCTACAAATAAATTTTGAGTACATTTTGTTTACACCTAAAAAAATATAAAACATAAGTTTATCTGTATACGAGACTACTCGTCTTAATTTTAATTTTTAATATGAAACTCATGCTGCTTACTAGTTGAACCGATAACGCTATGGAATGTGAAGCGATATATATAGGATTCTTGCTTTATTGAGAATTCTGATATAGCGGGAAATATGTGAACATAGGCGAATAATGGTGAATAGCAATGGTGGTTTACTGTTCTCTGTGCTTTGATATTTTGTCGTAAAAGTTTCATCACTAGGTTTAGTGACATCTTCAGAACTAAGCCTAGTGATGAAATGTTCATGACAAAATATCAAAGCTCAGAGGACACCAAACCACCGTTGTCCTCAACCTGAGCTACAAATGTTTTCCATCAGTGATCAATAGTTTTAAATAAATGTTCTTGATTCCGTGGTTGGTCATAATTTGAATCCAATCAAACAGCAAATTGAGTAGTAGAAAAACATTCCTATCTTCAACAAAGAAATAACTGAATTTTCATTTTTATAAGATATGGAAAACGGAATTGCTTCCTTAGAATAAAGTAAATTCATCTCATTTAACTGGTTGTAATTAGCTATAAGTAAGTACGCATAATTTAACTATGGCTTTTGTCTCCAGAGCATGAGGATAGATTACTTTGATGCAAAGTATACACTTTTTCCTTCAATAGTCTCGGACGAAATTTTCCGTTAGACATTAATATTCTCGAGAAGACAAAAAATATATGGCTATAAATACACAGGATGAGAGTGAAATAATTGTGTAATCATTTGACAAGGCAGGATAACTGATTTAACGGAGAACATTAATGATCAGGCTTCTAGATATGACACTGACTGACAGACGGATGTGTCCACAATTTGTTTATCATTATATTGACATGAAGAACAGATAGATCAGTCTTAATCTCATCTATTGTATCACTTAATGACCGTCGGTTAATTTTAGTTAATCTTTGACATGTATAACAATATTCTTAAATCCTTTTTGTTTCCATACATGGAGTGTATACGATAAAAAATTTCTCTGCCAACTTGTTGTACTGCTTCAGCTGGTGGTTCAGTTTGATATTTAACTTTTTGTAAGCAATGATTGTTCAATTATGCTGAAATAATACTACAACCAAATCATAAGTTAGCAGACCGTAGTAATCAGTTTATTTTTAAAACAAATATGAAACTAATATGATAGTTGAACACAACGCAATGGTTGCGATAAAGCTGAGACTCAACCAGTGGTTACACATCTTTGTTCGAACTTTATAACTATGTACATGTAACCTGTAAGCTTTAGGTTTGAGTTTAATCATGGACCAGGTTTACTTGCAACTAAAATCATCGGATAAATAATGCTGGTATTATTAAGACCATACAAATTATTACTAGTTGCTCAGAAAATTTTAACAGAAATACCATGAATTTTGAGGGGGTTGTGGAGATTTTAATTACAACCACTTAAGTAAACTCCAAAAGTAAGGGTTTCAATTACTTATTCATCACTTCTAACTATTTCAATGTCGACTTGGTGTCCAGTATCACGTAAATGTAAATGGTAATTCTGCTACTATTGTTCTTCTTGCTTTATTCAAAATCACTGCGTTCCAGAACATTTCAGCTTTCTTCGACTGTTTGGAATAAATTGTCCTCAATAACCACTGTTAGCCAGGAATGTCCCTGAGGATTTTTTTATCGTCTCGAACGTTCGTACAGAAATATCTCACATGGAATGACTTTATATGAGCACCCGTTGGCCATTTTTAAATAAGGAGCTAAATCAGGGTTTCTCAACTTCGTCGTTCTTCCCTCACTTTCTCACCTATGACATCATGTGAATGATACTTTTGAAAGTTTATCACCTAGTCAAAACTTTTCGGTGAAATTATCATACTTTAAGATGAATCACCTTTATTCACCTAGCTCTCACTTTCTGTAGGTATGCATCACTAAACCATTGACTGCTTCTACAATATTGGCAGAAGCAGTCATAAATAATCTTACAGCTAGCACTTCTTGGTAGTTTTGTGATTGCTAATGGAATTGTGGTGATCAAAATCAGTAACCACGTTGAGAAAGCTCGGATGACACAAGTTCACCAGATTCGCTTTCAGTGAAGAGAACATTTTTCTCCGGGTGTTGAAACATAAGTGCACAAGACGGCAGTTCGAATCTTCATCTTTACGACCTGACTATGCTCCATAGATTCTCTGCATTTGTCTCCATTCGCATACGGTGACAGCACCAAACGAACAACGTGAAGCGTGTTGCGTTCATATGATTTTAAAATGGTGGGGGATATTTGTAGTTCCGGTGGATGGTCTTGGTTGTATTGTGTTCTCTGAGCTGGGTTATTTGGTCGTGGAGCTTCTTTCGTTTTTGTAGATGACGTCTTCAGCACTAACTTTTGTATGTTTGCTGAGGTTTGATTAATACTGTTTTACAGTAGGTTGATTTCTCCTACATTTTCAATTGGTTTCGGTTTCCCACAAACAAACCTAAGTATTTCTTATGCACACCACCAAACCAGCTTCTCTACAGACCATTAAACATTTCTGCTTCAGCTATCTGAAGGAAGCATAAAGGTGATCAACTAGTGACTGAGCATAGAGCGATGAGTAGCTGTATTAGGTTAACATTTGGTGGCTAATCATGACCCTCAGGAACAAGTCTTCGGAATGATATGTTTTGGTCACTGAAGATGCTTTCAGAATTGAATCTACGATGCCAATGATATCGACATGATTCTATGAAGATAACTAATTACGTTGCTTCGTTTCAGCTGTACATTTAGTTTTTTATGACATCCATAAACTTGGTTATTCATTTCAGCTTTTTGTAAAGTGATCTTTAAAATCACCCTCGTACCTTCATTCAACATAACACCTGAACGCCAGTGAAAGATTTTCGAAAGCATCTTATGCAAGAGACTTTTCTTTTATGATCACATTGTCGTTTCCTATCCCTTCTTCTGCTTCCTTATAGTTCCAAAACATTTCTATATAATTTTGTTCGAATCTTTTCTTGGCATTTCTATTTTAGTATACGGAATATCCCCATGTTAACATCCAAAAGATGTGAATTTGAGCAAATACGTATTTTGGTTAGCATCTCATTATTGTTAACTTAGAATACATAATTTCACACTAAGGAACAAATGCACATCAAGTAGTAAAATAAACTTGAATATTGCTTTATATTTAACTAGTTTTAGGATTAAGATAGTTTATTTTAGGGGATTTTGGATAATTAGTATTTAATTGCGTATATATATCATTGTCTTTCTCGTCAGGGAGAATGTGGTGCTTGTTGGGCATTTTCAGCTGCTGGAGCCCTAGAAGGACAACTGAAAAACAAGACTGGTTATTTTATTGAACTATCTTCCCAGCAACTCATCGACTGTAGTCATCCGTTCGGTAATCACGGCTGTTTGGGTGGTGACATGAATAATGCATTTCGATACGTTGAAAGTAATGGGATACAGAAAGAAGAAAACTATCCTTATCTAAAGAAGGTGAATCATAAAATTTGTTCAATTGAAAAGGATAACCATTGATATTTTGACTTGTAAATGTTATCATAATAATTTCTCAGGGTGATTTGAATACCTATAATCTATATTCTTTGATTGGGTAGTTTTCATTTTCTTTGAAGAAGAAATCCTCACTGTCAACTTTATATTATGTGAGCAAAAAGGTTCAGATACTTAGAGTAGTTCATACGATTCATAGCATATGAATTAGCTGAAAGAGGTCAACTTCAGCAAAATCTAAAACGCAAATTCTATCCGCCATACATAGCAATATATTGGAGGAACAAGGTGCATAGCGTATACTTGTGTCAACGAATAGAAACTAACACTTAGACGACACTATTTTTCATACCTGATACTCATGTCTTTAGATAACTAAGACATAGGCTCAACCGGAATCCTTTGGAAATCTTAAATCGGAGAAAAGTCAAAAATGCAGAGGACTTTTTGTAAGTAAAGCATACGAGTCAATTTGTTAGTAAAAACGAATCAGTACTCAGTGGCATAGTTTATCAAACCAGTATTGAAAAAGTTACTTGATAAGGAGGTTCAGACCTTGCACCAAAAAAGCCTTTCTGATTCTAGAATAGCAAATATATCCACCTCTGAATATCTCCAAAGCAGATTTGTCAGACATTTTCATCTTGTTAATATGTAAAATCATTTCAATCATTAGGGTAGATCTAAGGAATTTAGTAGGGATTATGAACAAAATTCAATACCACTTTATGGGAATTCAGCTTCTTTCAGTTCATTCTTATGAAAAACTGAATCATAAAGGTTCAAGACTATTGAGAATAAAGTGGAAATAGGTACAGGTTAGCTGTTAAAAGAACTGTAAACTCTGAGTTTATATACCTCATAGCTTACTGTACATCCTAGATAACTCATACTATCACATTTCTACGGAGTACAGAAAATTCAGAACCTCTTTTTCCTTTAATATGTTTAGCATACTTTACAGGTTCCTTAACTTACTCCCATATTAGATTTGGTTATTTGATATATAGTACACAATGATACACTATTATTTACTTGACGTTTCCACCATAAATTATTGCTCACAATCGTATCGATATAATCACATGACTTTCGACAGCTGACTTTTATAGTCCCATTACATCATATTCTTTGTTTTAGTGTTAGCAAAATTTTCCATATCTCTGTTATACTTGTTGTTGCATCAATATATTCCGATTAGATGTGTTGGGTGTTGATTCGATGAAAAATATTTCAGTAATCAATCTTTCTCTCCAACTAATTATATTCACTTAAGTGGAGTTGGTTTCATCCCGCCCTATTGTGTGGTTGTATGTTTAATGTATGTATGGTAGTAGACGGGTTTTTCTAGATTATTGATCTTATTGGAGTTTGTCATTCTATATTAAGCTAAATTCCCATGTTCCGCCTAAGTAACTGACTTCTACCGGCTAGTTTTATCTACGTATTAGACCTCATAGTTATTGCATGGAATTCGACAGATTAGATTACGTTGCTGAATTGGATCTACCGAAACCTAAAGTCGACAGGCTTATCTCTGAGTTTGTAGATTTAAATGCTACCCTAATTCTAGCCTAGTTGAGAATCCTGCGTAAAGTTCCTTGCGCTTAGGGTAACACAATGGAAGCTTTAAACTCCTTTCTATTCGGGTTATCACTGTTATTTTTACTCGTATTACTCTAATTAATTCGTTTCTTATGTGTTCGTAAGAATTTCCTAGTAAACTGTAGAAGGTAATTAATAATTATTAGAAAATAGGAGTTTAGCTAAATATAGAATGACAAACTCCAATAAGATCAATAATCTAGAAAAAACCCGTCTACTACCATACATACATTAAACATACAACCACACAATAGGGCGGGATGAAACCAACTCCACTTAAGTGAATATAATTAGTTGGAGAGAAAGATTGATTACTGAAATATTTTTCATCGAATCAACACCCAACACATCTAATCGGAATATATTGATGCAACAACAAGTATAACAGAGATATGGAAAATTTTGCTAACACTAAAACAAAGAATATGATGTAATGGGACTATAAAAGTCAGCTGTCGAAAGTCATGTGATTATATTGATACGATTGTGAGCAATAATTTATGGTGGAAACGTCAAGTAAATAATAGTGTATCATTGTGTACTATATATCAAATAACCAAATCTAATATGGAATTATATTCAACCATTGTGTGAAGTTTTACGATTATATTAATTTTCTGAGTTAAGCCTTTCCGAAATATCTTGTGCTTACACCGAAGTTACTTCAAAATTTTGTTGTGCGCACATTTAAAGATTCTCACCAGTTTTATTGGAAAATATCAGGATTTCTTACTTTAGAGAATAAAACAGTTGTGAGTTATTATGTAGCACCAGATACCAGTATTTTTATTGCAAAGCCTTTAGATTTCATATTTACCTTAATGCAAGATGATTACAAGCCTTCAAGTTGATGCCTTTTGAGTTACTATTTCATCAGTTGGTCAGCTAAGCGTCCTCTGAATTTGCCACTTCAGGTTTTGATGAAAATTACATAAACAGACAAATGGAGTAGTTACAGGTTTTTCTGTAACTTCTATATATGCAAATCTTTCTATATTTAGTCGATAAATGTCACCAGCTTCATCAAACCACATATTTGGTGGCTTAAATATCTGGATGGAACATTTATAATCATAAAAATATCATCCCTGAGGACTTTTTCGAAAGAAAAAGATATTCAATCTTCACACATCAAATTCATATTAAAATATGAATGTGAAAGTTTTGAGCTATTATTTGTAAACTATTTAGTTAGGGGAAATGTAAGCAGAAATTCGAACTTCTCAATTTCCAGCAAACTAAAACATTGAAAGTGATACAGTGCTAAACTTTTACTTGCTCTAAACTCATTCAGGAGGTAGTAAAACTCGTCATGAACAAAGAAGACACATAAACACAAGTAACTAACACAAAAGATACCCCTCACTCCAGTACCATTTAGAAGTTGATGAGGTGAGAACAAATAAATCCTAATTATCGCTAAAAAGTGTACAAGCTACACAAAACGACTTTCAGAAAATATGATAAAACTAGTGAATTTACAGGTAAAATTAGGATTTTTGGTTCACTTTATTTTGCACAGTCCTAAAACTGATGTTGAAAACATAATTATTTATCAAGAATGATTTTCAAACTACAAAAAATTGTGGACTGTTGTAGCATTTCATATGATGTTGAATACTTAATACACTTAGCAGAAAGGAAGGCCTAATTATTTAGCTAACTTGAACAGTGTATGCAAAAAACCGTGTACACACAAATAAACTGCTTTTCTTATTTATTCGGCTTTTCTCATATACCTTCACACTTATATACAAACATAAACATGTTTTTTAATAACTATTTTCACCAACTTGATCTCACTGATGAATATCAATAACAATAATATATGATCTCATCCTGTTGTTTTTTGTGAGCATGTATGAACAATGTAAACTGATTTGTCTCGTGTAAACATGCGATAACTTGTAAAACTTTTATTCTCTGCAGAAAAGGGCTTCATCATAAACCATTCATCCAGTACCCAACTTACTTATGTCTATCAGGTTAAATTTTGATTCTGATGCCTACAAAACTATAATAAGGATCCATTTTTTCACCAGATATAGAAAACACTTCAGAACCATGCAGTCAGAATTAGGCCTTCAGAGAAGCTAGGAAGAATATATCTGCACAGTGAGAACATTTCTGCGGACAGTAACCGAAGACATTCATAGTCTTCAGAACATGCTGACTTCTCATTGGTTAAGCAATTTTATAAGGTGTTTTGAAGAGATTGTTGTTTTTTCACACAGTGAACGATTCAAAATTAAGCCATCCATCCTGAAGTCATAGCTGTACGAACTATGTATTTTGCAAACACATGGTTTAATTGAGATTGCGATTACCTGTTGCTGAAAATGGGTACTTTCATTGTTTTACCATCTATTTCCTTGTGGCGTAATTCTGCATTTTGTTTTGGCACTTCTTGCCCATGGGTTAGCTAACCGTAAGCAATATAGTCTCAACTATTCAGATCTATTCTGTTCTCAAGCTGCAACAGGTTGTTCAGTCTATCTATGAAACCTTTCCTGGTTTGTCTCCTAAAACACCTTTCCAGACTAGTTATCATCAGTGCTGTCATAAATAGGTGTCTGTTTGTGGATATCTCTCTTTCTGAATCATTGTAACAGGTTTCAGTAGTTTACACGGTTGACTTCTGGTTATACCTTGATAAGTCTTGCAGTTCAAAGATGAGAGCCTAGAACTCAGCAACAGATGGCTGCAGAATAGGTTGTCAGTGTAACTAACGGTAATTTACGATGTGTGAGGTCATTCAATTGAAGAGGCAGTGAGTAAGCCCACTAAAGGTACTAAAGAATGGTTGATTTTTAGCCCGAATCGACTCCAATTAAAAGTTCGGCTGGCTAGAGTGCAATCCAGTGTTTGTACAGCAGTAAGCGTAACATAAGACCTGGCGGCAGTACGTTCAACCATTTATTTAGCCGAGAAGGTAGACTTCTGATTAGTGTAACAGTAGAGAAAAATAGTTGTTCATTATCCTCGAGTCATCAGTAGTTCTCACACTTATTTGGAATTATGATGAAACCGATTCCCAAGTTAACTAGTATCTAACCTAAATCTCATGTGAATAATAACTTGTTTATCTTTCTCCTTCTTCATTTATCACCAGAATTAGTCACCTTAAATGTATTTATCCTATTAATTACCACACATCTTTTGAGTTCTATTCCCAATAATAAATCAGAGAATTTTGTTTTTGTACAGTTCAGTTAAATTCATATTTACGATTGACCTTTAAAAAAATCAGTCGAAAATGGTGTCTGTTGCTTACATAAAAGTGATTGAAAATATGCACTAATTTAAACATTAGCATATATAACTTAGTTTATTCCAAAATGTGATAAATACAAAGCTTTCAAGGTTAAATGATTACC